TTCCTGCTATGCCTTCAGTCATCCATATAGTACGAACCGCATCTATCCAACCATTATACTGAAGATGATACCACACTATTAGAGATCTTAAATTTGATATTTTACTCATTTTCATTTCTCTCCATTCAATCAAAAACAAAAACCTCTCTCCCCCTAAAAAAAAAAAAAAATAATAATAATAATAATAATAATTAATTCTTGAGATCGCCACATATGCTCTTGCATTTTTCTGTCTTTAGGCCAAGTTTGGAAACTTGTAAAAAAGTTAAAAAGTTACTCAAAAAGTTACTCAAAAAGTTAAAAAGTTAATACTATTCATCAAAAGTCAACAATTACAGCTGCACAACTCCTAATTCAAATTTTTCCTTACAAATCAATTTTTACAATTTTTTATTACACATTTTTCCATAAAAAGTCAAAAAGTTAACCCAAACATCCATATTTTCAACCTCAAATTTTTTAGTCCAAAAAGACAAAAAGTGCACTTATTTAGGACACCCCAAACAACCCCTTAATAACTAAAATATTATTTTTATCAATTTTACTTAATGAAAATAAATAAATAATTTAAATTGACAAGATAAAAAAAAAATTGTTATGAGTGTCAAGCCTTTATACATTTATTTATTTTTTAATTTCTCATAAAGTAAATAAGTATATTTTTTAAGGAAAATTAGTCTAAGGTCCCTCTTCCAAATTTAGTAATGGAAGAGATCCACAATTTTATTTTATAATCTCTAAGGTCCCTCAATTTCCACACCCATATATCACGGAGAAATTTGACACTCTGGAATCAAACCTCATTTTTTTTTTTTTTTTTTCTGTCTGTCACTCTAAACTTCTCCCTCTCCAAATTCGAAACAATTTACTTCATTCCAATTCCAATTCCAATACCAACACCAATACCAATACCAATACCAATTCATCAAAAAATTGAGGCTTCACTCTCCAGCACATGATGGATGTGGCTGAAGCATTCGAAGCTTTCGCCGACGTAACAACGCAGCGTCGCGCAACTACGTCCACAACGCCAAGGCCATGGTGGCGACACATGCAGACGTGAAAAGTACCCGAACTCGTACGTGTTCATCATCGAGATGCCTGGGCTGAAGTCAGGGGGAAAAGATCCTGATTCCTGGCCACGCTTCTGGAGGCCTTGTCCTCGTGGCTCTACAACCATGAATAAAAGCAAATTGATGACCAGTGAATACCCCTAAACTTCTCAACTTCTCTCTCTCTCTCTCTCTCTCTCTTGTAATTGAAGTAGTAGAAGTGAAAAATGGTTATGGTTATGGTGGTGGTGGTGGAACCACCGTGTGCGTGACCGGAGCTTCAGGTTTCATCGGTTCATGGCTCGTTATGCGTCTTCTTCAACGTGGCTACTATGTCCGAGCCACAGTTCGTTATCCTAGTCTCCATCATCGCCTTCATCAAGGTTCAGGCGGAGGGTTGGGAAGTTGATGAGGAAGTTTTTGTTGCTTGAGAATGCTAATACTGATCAGATCTCTGCTGTTTGTCAAGACGATGTGCTCACTGAATTTCTCTGGAGAGAAATTCCGAAGTTCAGAGAAATTTAGTTAAAACACAGAGAATCTAGAATTTTCTAGAGAAAAATTTCCTGGATTGAATTTTCTCTAAATCAATGTTGAGGGACTTTAGGTATTATAAAAATATTTAATGTTCTTTATGGTATAAAATCTTAAGAGTAGAGACCTTAAAAAAAAAATCTCCTATTTTTTAACTTTTATTAAAAAATATGTAAAAAAAATAATTATGTGACTTACAAAAATAAAAGATAAAAAGGTGTGATAATATAGTTCTTCCCAAACAACCTTTAGATAACAAGCAACCTTTAGATAACAAGTAGTGAAACGACATTGCTCGGTACCATAAATCGATTGGGCATTCGCTGAGAAGTGAGAGGTTAAGTGAAAGGGTAATGTTAGGAATATTAATTTTTTATTAAATAAATGACTAAATGTCTTATATGGGTGTGGGGTTCGTAATTTTATGGACCACACATCCATGTGAGACATTTGATCATTTATTTGATAGAAATTTTGGGACTTATAGCATTTTTCTAAGCGAAAAGGTAATGTTAGGAATACCAAATTTTTTATCAAATGAATGACCAAATGTCTCAAATGGGTGTGGAATCCGCAATTTTGTGGACCCACATCCATGTGAAACATTTGATCATTTGTTTGGAAGAAAATTTGGGACCTAGAGCATTTTCCTAAGCGAAAGGGTAATGCTAGAGATACTAAATTTTTTACCAAACAAATGACTAAATGTCTCACATGGGTGTGGGGTTTGTAAATTTGTGGACCTCATACTCACGTGAGACATTTTGTCATTTGTTTAGTAGAAAATTTGAGAACTATAACATTTTTCTAAGCCAAAGGATAATGATAGGGATACTAAATTTTCTACCAAACAAATGATTAAATATTTTACATGGGTGTGAGTCCGTAATTTTGTAGACCTCACACTCGTGTGAGACATTTGATCATTTGATCAACTATTTGGTATAAAATTTGAGACTTATAGCATTTTCTTAAGCCAAAAGTAATACTGTAGATACTAAATTTTTTATCGAACAAATGACTAATGTCTCACATAGATATAGAATCTAAAATTTTATATACCTCACATTCATATAAGACATTTAGTCATTTGTTTCGTAGAAAATTTTGCCTCTATAACATTTTCCTGAGCGAAAGAGTATGTTAAATATGTCAAATTTTTTACCAAATAAATCACGATCGCCGTGGGGTCCGCAATTCTATATATAATTGAGTAATGATTCATCCCCCATTTTCTTCCCACCCCTTTGACCCCCTCTCTCTCATTGGTTACCTTTTCTTTTTCTTTTTCTTTTTCTTTTTTTTCCTGCTCCACCAATCACCCCCTGCCACGTGGCAAGGGGGGTGAGGGGGTGACCCCCAAAAGGGGGTCCCAAGCATTATTCTATATAATTAACCATGCTCCATACACCCAGTGGGGGTGACGCCCCAGTGACGTGGCGCACCCCCACTGGTCGAAAATCAAAAAAACAAAAAAAAAAAAACTATTTTTTTCCATCCAACCTCCAGCTGACACCTGACTGCGTGTCAAGCATTTTTCTATAATTTGGCCGTGAAAAGAAGTGTTAGAGAAGAACAGATCCAATAGCAAAACCCAAATTAAATTTGGAGGAGTAAACCCTATCAAATCAAGTTTGGAAGCAGAGGAAAGTCGAACAAAACACAGATCGAATCTCAAAAATGGCGATGGCTGCTCTGAGACGTGAGGGAAGGCGGTTCGCTCCTATGATCTCCCCCAACCCTATCAACTCCCTCCGATCTTCCCTCACTCCTTCCGAGTTCGATCTCTTCTGATTTCTTTTACTATGAGCTTCTCGCAATTTTAATGTTTATGAATACTTGTGATCTAGGGTTTTCTTACTTTGATTTGCAACTTTTTGGTGCATTTTCTTCTCACCGATCGTTATTTGCTTTTATTTTTTCATTTAATTTGCACGGATTGTGGTGTTCATTTTTGTTTTTATGTTCAAAATTTGTAGTTTATCTTTAGCTCAAAAGTTATGCGTAGTGCGTCAGACTGATCGTTAACCAAATAGGGGAAATTACCAAAAAAAAAAAAAAAAGCCCCAGGATTTGACATTGTAACAAAATAAATGTCAATTGAAAATTTCAATTTAAACCATTTGACTATTTATGTTAAGCTCAGTTTGTTTATATGATGGAAAAAAAAAAAAAAAACTTTAGTGAGTTTGTTTAGTTTGAAAATGGTGGAAAGTAGAAGAAAACTAATTTTCTTGTAAAACCAATAGTAGTATTGCAATTAATTTTTAATTTATTTCAAAATAACACATGAACAATTGAATGTGTGAGTTATTTATAACTAGACTTTTAAATTTTTCTATCTTTTTGTTACGAAATTTGCAAGAAAATATATTTTCTTTTCTTTCACTGTCACTTTCTATCAAATTTTATTTATAGTCAAACAGAGCCTTGAGTAACACTGATGGAAAAAATTGGTATTTTAGTCATTAAACTCAATGAAAATGGTCTTTTTAATATTTTATGTACACCTACATTGAGTTTAATGGCTACAATATATTTTTTCATTGGTTTTACTTAACAGAAATATGCTGGTGGTTAACATTCTAATAAATCAAAAGACTAGGATTTAAATTTACAAAATTAAAAATTTAGGGTTTATTTTGATACAAAGATCAAACTCTGGGGGCTTTTTTATTATAATTTTCCCAACAGAATATATATAGACATATGTTGTATAATGTCAAGGAAGATATATGTTCAGGTACACAAAGGTGCAAATGTATATACTATATATACTAGGACATACGCCAACATATTTATCTTTTATGTAGAATAGAGATGTCAATTTGCATGCAGGAAGTGTTATATGATACATTGTGAACACTGTGTCATCGTGTTATTGCACATGGAATTGGATGAATACCTGAAACCGTACCAAAGTCCATGTAACATAGAATACAATTTTATGCTAGGGAGGATTCTTCTGCTTTCATGAGCCAAATAAGATAAGCTATATCCTAAACATGAGTGTGTTAGTAGCTAATTGACAGTTGTTTTGGGGATGGTCAATCTTTTCGGATAAGTTAGATTCTAAACATTAGAATTTTTGGTCTTCTTGTTATTAATTTTCATTTGTCATCTAAACGATGAGTTAATGATTAAAGGTCATGGAGATGTAGAGGAATGAATTCTTATATATTTGGTTTTGAAGACCATGAGGTCCAGATAGAAAACTGAAAATAGGTGGAGCCAAGCAGGGCTTCTCTAAGACGCATCTATAGGTTTTAATTTCGTTTTGGATGTTAGAATATCATGTAGTCACCAACCCAGATGGCGGGGACAAGAAGCTACATTAAACAGAAGGCTTCCAAATTTGGGTAGTACTTATATTCCTGTTAATTACAAAGTTGTGGGTAATGCTAATTGATTGTCTTTACAAAAGTGCTGGCCAAGCGTGGGAGCTGATATTGGATTGTCTTCGATTTATGCATACATTATCACCACTAAGGGTGCAAACTTTGAATATTGATTTTATTCTTATTATTTTTATTGTAATAATTCACTTAAACAAGCTTAACCTTCTATTTTTGGGCATGCATAATATCCATATAAGTCTAACTTTTCATTTAACTTCTACAAGTTTTATTTGCATCTTTATTTATCCAAAAAAAAAATTAGAAGAAGAAAGTTTTACCTACATCTGGCATCTGCATCTGCATCTGCATCTGCATCTGCACGTCTAGTCCTCTAACAAATTAGCTTGGGTGGGCAGGGAGCAGGCCTTTATTGGAGTCCGTTCTATTTCGACACAAATTGGTAAGACATTACTCAACTATTGATGCTGCAGTTAAATGGTCTCTGTCATTCAGTAAATAATATAATCATTCTTGTGATTATTGATTGTTTATGATGCTAATATTTATGTATGCAGTCCGAAACCGGATGAAGAGTGTTAAGAATATCCAGAAAATCACAAAGGCAATGAAAATGGTTGCAGCCTCTAAGCTGCGAGCGATTCAAGTTAGAGCTGAGAATTCCCGTGGCTTATGGCAGCCATTTACTGCACTTCTTGGTGACACTCCAAGTATGTTCCTCAACAAACCTTGGCCAATCATAATTTAAGTTTAATATAAAAGTAGAAGTTTAAGTGTCACTTATAGAACTGAAGGAGATCGACAACGAGTTATTCGACGTCGTCATGCTGATGAGATTATTCCGTTACTGATAAGTTCGAAGTATCCATCATTGATCAACAGTGTCTGTCAATAACCAACTAAGATGAGATATAAAGATCAAGTAACATAATTAGACACAATGTAGACCCATGGACCACCAAGACAATCCGCATATGTATGATAAAATACCCTCAACTCCTAAAACTTAATTGAACTTCAGTAATACTAAACCAGCAGCTTAATCAACTTAGAAACAACCTAAAATGATTCAATGTAGCACGAGCCTTAATGCAAGGTCCTAAGTGCAGCTTAGGATGATAGGCATCAGTTTGGCCATACCTTTTTTGTTTTGTTTTTGTGATCCTTTATTGACTGCATCTCTGATTCGTTCATTCATTAAGTATAGCCTTATCTTTAATGTATTGCTTGTTGCATTACTAGGTGTTGATGTCAAGAAGAATGTCATTGTTACAATTTCTTCTGACAAAGGTCTTTGTGGTGGAATTAATTCTACATCAGTCAAGACAAGCAGGGCTCTTTTTAAGTTGAATTCTGGTATTTCTGCTAGCAACTGTTACAGTGACATTTCCAATTTTTTACCATTGGGAAAGTTTGAAAACATTTTACTAGTTGAATGTTGTACTACTATGCAGGTCCTGATAAAGAAAATAGATATGTTGTTTTGGGAGAGAAGGCAAAGGCTCAATTGATACGGGATTCGAGGAAGGACATTGAGATAACCTTAACTGAGCTGCAGAAAAATCCTTTGAATTACACCCAGGTTAGTTTATTGTATTTATTGCTGTTTATGATTTGAAGGAAGAAATTAGATTACGGTCTCTCTCAAATTTTCAATCTGTTCATTTTCTCTTTGATTATTTGGCTTTTGGTCTTATGCTTGATTATGAATATCTTGTTGACAGTTCCTTCCATTCTTTTAGAAGGTTTCTTGTTGATCTATTTGACAGAAATGGGAGTTTCTTTTGCTGGAAAGCATTCTTGTTCTAATGTAGATATATGGATGGAAATGAAACTTAGTTTCATACTCCATCCAACTAGATGGCAAAAGCACTCTCAACCCACAGATCTGCAGATACAGACAATCCTTCACTAATTTGCATTGCATATTGTTCCTGGGTATAGCATGGATATATTTGGTGAAGACTTGCAATGGCAGTTTTCTTAGCATATGTGACTAGGGAGTAGGGATTTGTAGAGAGTGAGGAGGAACGAGTGTTCAGTTGAGTATTTTTTTTTTTAATAATCTAAATGACAAAGCCGTCCTCATAATATCCTGACAGTTGGTCTGGAAAAACCATCCCCAACAAAATCCCAAATGAAAAAACTGTTTTTGTTGATAAGTGAATTAATCTTAAGAGTATGATTATAGATATACTTATATTCCTGTATTTATTTTGTGGATGGCTCCCAATGATCTATGAGGCTTATGTTAATTTTTAATTTTAACTTTCTGTTGTTTGGCTGTGCCTAACATTAACTTTGAATAAAAAAATTTGTGTAGGGATCAAGAATTAATTGAACTTGAGAATGAACTCAAGTATCATTAGCCAAATTACCATGATTCATGAAAGCTTCATTTGTCTTTTTATACACTCGCATGCAAATCTTTGATCATTCATATTTCATTTTTGTTCCATCAAAATCAGGCATACAATTCCAAAGTTGTATATACTAAAAAGGTATGTCCGTATGTGTGTGTATGGGTACTCTAGAATCAATCTTGCTTGAGGTATTTGCACATTTAAATGCTCCTTTTCTTTCAAACAAAACTCTCTGGTCAATCAGGATACGAACTCTCTGAGCCACTAGGTTAATGCTTGATTTTATTTTCCTTTTTTCTTCCCTTGCTATATCCAAATTGTTGCCCTGGCAGGTTTCTGTTATTGCAGATGAAATCTTGAAGAATGTGGAGTATGATGCATTGAGAATTGTTTTCAACAAATTCGGTTCAGTTGTCTCATTTATGCCGACAACAGCAACTATATTATCTCCTGAGGTGATTAGAGTGCTTTGAATTTATTAAAATAAAAAAACCACAAATTTCATTTGTGCTTTTTTTTGTGGATATGAATTTGACTGTGTTAATATAGATTGTGGAGAAGGAAGCTGAAGCAGGGGGAAAGATTGGTGATCTGGATTCCTATGAAATTGAAGGTGGCGAGACAAAGTCAGAAATACTTCAGAATCTTACAGAATTCCAGTTTTCTTGTGTGAGTCCTACCACATTGGATGTTTTTAACAATTCTTGAATTTGGGCTGTACTAATGCTGCTAAAAGGGCGTTTGTAGTTCTCTAACTCGAAGAGGGTTTTCCAGAATAAATTATCCATTTATGTAGATTATCCAAGTCTAAGATTGTTTGATTGGAAACAAATTCTGATGATTTTCGCAGGTGATGTTCAATGCGGTTTTGGAGAATGCTTGCAGTGAGCAAGGAGCAAGGATGTCTGCCATGGATAGCTCTAGCAGAAATGCTGGTGACATGCTTGATCGCCTCACACTTACTTATAACAGGTCTCTCTCTCTCTCTCTCTCTATATATATATATATATATATGTGACTTTTTTGTTGTTGCATTTGTATTTGTATCTGATCTATCTTACTTACTGTCGTTCTGATAGAACCCGCCAAGCATCAATCACCACAGAACTGATTGAGATTATTTCGGGAGCATCTGCATTGGAGGGCTGATTGTGTGAATCGCTGCATACTCTCTATTTGATGGCAACGAAATAAAACCCTAGTGGAGAGCATATTATTTTTGTCGGCTTCTTTCAACAGTCTCCCTAGGTCAACTCATATTTTTATTTTTTTCTTTTTTTTTGTCCCTTGAAGAAGAAGATTGTCTTTGTGATTTCAAATTATTCTGGAAATCTTTCTTATCATCTCTGATTGAAGAATTATTTTGGCACCGAAACTTTCATTTCAACTAAGTGCAATAGTTGAATGGGTAATAATCTGTCGAAAACTGTATGATCCAAACACAGTATAAACCTACTTTAGTTTTGGATTCGTGCAGTTCATTTGCCAACTAAGTGCAATAGTTGAATGGATAAAACTGTATGATCCAAACACGGTGTACACCTACTTAGTTTTGGATTCGGGTAGTTCATTTGCCAAATTCTGCAGTTGAATATAGCTTCTTTTTTAATTTTATTTTAAATGATTACATGATTCAACTTTGGGGGTCAACATAGCATTAGGGTTTTTTTAAAAAGAGCAAAAGCAAAGTGGAACTTGACGTATATTTGGTTGAGTTACCAAAATAAGCAGTCTATTTGGTTAAGTTGTCAAAATCTATTATTCAAAAAAAGTATTTTCATATGATTTCTATGATAATTAATTGCGTTGTTTATTAAATATTACTAAAAAATATCACTAAATTTTCAACTTCAGTTGGAAAATTGTGTCAAAAAATGTTACTGATGATAAGTTTTAATGACAGTTTAAAAAAATTACAAAAAAGTCACTAATTTTTAACTTTTAGTAATAATTTGAAAAATTTGTTATAGAAAAATGTTACTAATTGTAAGTTTTATAAAAATTGTAACAAAAAAAGTCATTAATTGTTAATTTTTAACGATATATGTAAAAAATTGTCACAAAAAAATAATTTAACAATGATTTTATTAAAACTCGTTTTTAATAGAACGTGATGGGAATTATATTTAATTATTAGGATATATAAGTAATTTATACTTAAATTTTTAATGTCTAATTAACAAATTTTGACAACTCAACTGACCGGATTCTTTACCTTTCATGTCTTTGTAGCAAATTATCATTCTCTGGAAGAAATGGAAAATGTGGTATTCGTCAAAAAAAGATTGCATTATATAATTTTGGGTACTGTAACAAATCATAAACATCATATTATCAAAATGGCAATTACCTTCGAGACTATTTTTATCAGATCAAAATACTTGTTTGGGCCTCAATTTCAAAAATTGTATGAAAAGGCATTTTCTAAAATCACTCACTTACTAAGAAACAAAATAAAAATAAAAAAATAATGACAATATTAAAAAATATATATATTTAAAAAAAGAAAAGAAGAGAAAATTAGTAATCCAATTTAGAGAGTATCTAAGGCATTAGGTCCAATGAATATTTCTTGTTGTTGAGAGGTTCACGTTTTATGAAATAGTTTGGTGAGAAATCCCGTAAGACATTTTGTTTCCACTTTTATCCCATTTGACTTTTTGTTAACTATATGTTCAAAAATTTTCCTATCTGCTTCATTTTTTACCCTATTTGTTCAAAATTTTCTCTATCTATACAAATTTTTTACTCCATATGTTTAATTTTTTAACCTTTTCGATCCAAATTTCACTTATCTGTTTAAATATTTGTCCAAATAAAATTCTATCTGTCCAGTTTTTTGTCTATTGGTCCAATTTTCTATTATATTTGAACAGATTTGTTATTTTATCTATTAAAAATCAACTAGAACATATCTGTTTAAAACAAATATGTTATTGCAATCTATTTCTTCTTCATTATCCACTATCTACTGAAATCATTCCACAAACAAAGATTCATCATCAATACAGCATGAATTCATCATCAGCATCATTACTAACAACAACAACAAAACCCTAATCAACAGCAACAAACTGCAAACGTGAGATGTATTTTAGCGAAAAACGCCATGACCATAAACTATGTGGTGTTTACTATCCATGAACCCCGGTCCAAAAGGTTCAAATCTGTATACATATACATACACATATATTGAGAGGGATATTTGTGACCAAACATAGGTCGAGCTAGTTTGGTAACTTCGGTTGAGGTCTTAATTCAAGCAAGAAGAGGCCGCACGCTTAACCGGGGTCTTGGCGCGGTCAAATATTGGATACGCGTCAGTCCGAGATATTAACCCAATCAAGTTTAAGACATGAGTTTAAGGCGCTAGCTCGGTTTAGAGATGTGAATCTCACCAAGAGTTGGATAGAATCTGTCCATGGTGGACCATATTCGGCCGAACGGGAGCTCATTGCGAACTAGCTAGCTCAGTTGAGCTGACATTCAGATCTATCTGTCAGGACTGGGCAGGTAGCGCAGTTCTGGGGAAAGGTTGTGATACCACATGGCATGATTGGATTGCAGGAAAAAGATTCCGCCGTCCGTAAACGTCAATACCATTAGGCGGTTTCACCATTTGGTATTTAGCAGTATTTATGCTTACACATGGAAGAAGACAAGAGGGGAACACATCTACGTGTCCAAGGAAGGACGGACAAAGAGGTGTGCGCAGAAACTATATAAATGGTGCAGCGCCTCCATCTAGAGGTCTGGAACCCTTACACATTGAGATCTTCTAGTTATCAAAGCTCTCTTTCTAAAACTATACTAACTTGACCGTTAGAGGAGTATTTCGGCCACCACCTGCTGGGTAGTTCACCATCGTTGTGTTCTCAGGTTATTCTGAGTGAAAGGAGGCTTGGACACGAGGAGTACAGAGAACGACAAATATTTCTTCCCCGAACAATTGGCACCGTCTGTAGGAATGCAACAAACAAAACCTGGGAATCCGATAGACAAAACCTTATCCTCCAAGCTTTTTCGGTCATCTTTTATGGCGAACAACGACGACATTTCGCTGTCCACAATCGACAACATCATGCGAAAGTCCCTTCGGTGCAAAGATGGCCTGCCCGCCATTCCGATGATGGCTGGTTTAGAGACCTCCGCGCGAGGACTTCCCAGAGATGCGCGAGACAAGCGCGCAAGGAGTTTTAGGCGCTCTATTAGCCTAGAAGAGTGTCGCCGACAGCGAGACTCACATACTCAACACTTGGCAAACAAGTTGAGAGATCAAGATACAATCATCAAGAAGATGACGACGGAGATGGAGGCCATAAAATGCCAGATGAAGCGAAAGGGCGTCGCTTGAGTAGGGAACCACTGTGAGCATGCCCATTCTCGCCGCTCCAGTAGTCAAATAGACGCTGCGCTCCTTCAGTCTCGATCACGAGAAGCTTCAAAGCTAGAGACTACGTCGCGCCAGCAACGACATCTCGTACGCAAGACAACAGTTACCACCCCTCACGTCCGATGATGGTGTTGAGAGATTCACGCTCTCACCATTGGAAAGCCTGAGGAATGTGTTGGAGAAGCGTGTTAGCCAGCGGGAAGCGCAAAGGGTGCCTGCACTGCAGTGGCTAGCCCCTACAGGGCAAGCCAGTGAAAAGGTCGCCATGCCACTGCCACGTTTGGCTGTACATGCCACTATACAGAGAGTTGGCAAAGCTGATGGCCACCTATTTTTTCATAGAGATCGAGAACACACTGCTCCCCCCCCGGATTCTATCAGCCAAAGTTTACGCTCTATAACGAAAAGACCCCGCTCCGTATATATACATAAGCTACTTGCAACAGGTCATGGCTGGGCACAGGCGAAACGATGTGTTCATGTGCCTTATTTTTCTATCGAGTTTAGGCGAGTTGGGCCTAAAATGGTTCGAGAGGCTGTCGAAGGGAAGTATTGAGAGTTGGCAACAATTGGCGGAGGCATTTGTGACATGATTCAAGACCAACACCAAAACACCCAAAGAAGTCGACCACTTTTTGGGAATCAAGATAGAAACAGACGACTCCTTGAAGGCATACAACGCCAAGTATTGGGAAACATTCAACGAAAATCTTAATTGCCCGACAAACCTAGCAATCACTCAATACAAGTGTGGTCTTCCATTCGGATATAGACTCAGAGACTCACGTACCATGAATCAATCGACGACCATGGGGTTGCTCATGCAACGCATCAACGAACACATCCGAGTCGACGATGATGCAGCCGCAACTACCGTGAAGATAAATCCAATAGTGGTAGACAAAAGAGTTGTGGGAAAAGTCAATGCAGTCGGACAAAAAGATAGCCGTGCAAACAACCGTGGAAAAGAGCATGACCGCGGCGTTAACCGCAACAACTTGGATAAGGGTCGTAACAATAATCGGGCTAGCAACCCACGTGACGCGGAGGATGATGCCAAGAGAAAGTTAAAATCCCGGATTGGCATTACTACGTTCTTCAAGATCCCAATCTATCACATATTGAGTGAAATCCGTGACGAAGAATACGTCCAATGGCCGGCCAATTTTGGGGATGCGCAGAGAAGGTTCAATCCGAGATACTGTTGCACCTTTTATGATGAGAAAACAAGTCTAAACTTGGAAAACATAAAGAATTAAAGATCATTTCATGAAATCAAGGCCCATAAGCATGTTAATTATACAAACTCAAGCTTGAAATGTGAAAACATAACATGAACATGACATGTATGAAATGATTTGAGCTCCAAGTTTCCAAATCATGAGCAAATGAGATGTTTAGGTCAAAAACATGTTGAATTCTTTGAACAAAACCAAGATATGGACATGCATGTAGAAATTCTTGAGAATCAACTTACAATTCTTAGTGACTTATGCATGCATGTAGGATGCATGCTCTAATTCCTTAATCTAAGCCCAATTTTCACATTTTAACACTTAAACCTCTTAAGTTTAACCACCTATGTCTTAAATACAAAGTTTGAGGGCATGATTCTTACCTAGAGTTCCCAATTCTCTTGAATTCTAGCAAATTCTTGCTCAATTCCACAAATTTTGCTGCAATCTTACCAACTCCCCTTTTCTTCATCTTGAATTCACTTTCTCCATCTAACTCTCACTCTCCCTCACATTTTATCATCTCAAGGGAATAAAATGAAAGTGTAAAATGTATACTATAGTCCACTCATGCCTTATATAGGCTTAATTAAATTGACTTAATTAATCTTGGCTTAGGTTAATCACATTAACATTAATTATTCTAATTAATTCATTCTGAATCGAGTTTTAATTAAACCTACCATAACATTCTAAAAATTCGAACTAACACATATACTAAGCCAATTTCATGGTCGGATGTCGATAAGGTCTTCAATTCGCAAAATATAACAGAACCTTAAACAGATATTCCTATGGTAAACAAATATAAATACAAATAATGCAACACACATGCACTTAATTCAGAATTTTATTTTAATTACTTATTATGTATACTTAATCATGGCTTAATCATGGTTTAA